AGAGAGAGAGAGAGAGAGAGAGAGAGAGAGAGAGAGAGAGAGAGAGAGAGAGAGAGAGAGAGAGAGAGATTACCTGCTTGGTTTCAACTTTCAAATCAGCTGTTAAATTTTAAATCTAAGAAGACGACGACAAATTACAAATTTTCACAATTCCAACATTTGAATATCTAGTTCAGAATGTCAAGGTCATTACAAGGGGTAGGAGTTACATTCTTAGCCGTACCATGAATGTACGAACAGAGAAATGGGGAACTATTGTTGGAAACACCGACAAACACATCCTCGAATTCTAGATGAGTGAAATGCTTTTCAGGAAATCCGATCAACCGGATTGCAGTGTCATTCAGGCCAAGCCCATTTACTTGCGATATTTGTATGTGCGACACCTCCGTCGTCAAGGTTGGGTCGAACCTGTCATCGTCCGCATGCACGATTCCTCGCGAGTAGTTGCCGTTGATTTCGATTCCCGATCTCTTCGTGTTCAGCATCCACACATCGCGGAAGCTCACATTGCGCACGTACCCTCCACGTCCCTTTGCCACTTTGATCCGTAAACCCTGCTGTGCGCCGGAGATGCGCACATGCTCCACGCTAACATTGCTCACCCCACCGGAGATTTCGCTCCCTATGGATACGCCATGACTGGCATCTGCTTGAGCTCAGGGGCAGAATAAAAAAAAAAAAAGGCATACAGGCACAAAAGAGGTGAGGATCAAGAGCTTGAAGTGCACTCACACTTTTTCTTCTCCTTGCCAATCAGCTGATGTGCCTATCATTTGCTTCTCTCCACTTCTCGCACCTTTTGCCACGCTTCCTTACCATCACATGTGCAATACAAAGTAACATAAAATTAGGCAGCCCATACTATCGTCTTCACCCAAATAGAACGCCCGTCGTCCGGTCATTGTAGCTGCATCTGGACTGGAAGTTTCCCCAAATAAAGTGATAATGACTGGGCGTTCTATTCCGGTGAAAACGGTAGTTTTAAGTATGGCTTTGTGCGACGGAGACGATGATCATCGATCCGTTCATGAAAAGCACAAACAGCATCAACAAATCACGCAACCTACAGAGAAGGGACGGGAGAGTCTGAAGAGAGGCGAAACAATACACCCGTTGGGCCTTTGATACATTAACCAGGTGATTATGTTCATGGGGTCGAGCGAGGCATGCATGAACTCACCGATGACAATAGATTGAATGACGATGTTCTTGCAAGGGCGGTTGTACGCGAGGCCAGCTTGATTCCATCCACTCTTAACTGCTATAGCATCATCGCCTGTGCTGATGTAGCAGTCTTGGATCAGGACATCGTCACAGGAGTCTACGAGAAAGAAAGAGAATTAATCATGCGATGTGACGCATAGCACAATGGAAACACAAAAGACAATCGCGAAAAGAAACACATACCACGCAAAACACAAACATACCACGCAAAAACACACACATACCACGCAAAAACACACACAAGAGAGAGAAAATAGCTCAGCACACAGACACACAAACAGAGATGATCTTCAAATACATAGCACGCAGAAACCGACGGAAGGGCAACAGCTTTCGCCTTTCTTCTTTTTTTATTGAAGGGAAAAAAAAAATCACAAACAAACGCAAATTCATTATATACTGGGAAATAGACACCGCATCCCTGACATCATTGGCTGCAGTCTTTGGGCTGAGCCAGGGACTTCAGCCAAGCTGAACCAGCTTTCGAGTTTCCAAATGCAGGACAGTTATTTAGGCGAAACACAAAAGCTGCGCACAAAAAACTCAAAAGGTACGCTCTCTTAGTGAGCTCTTTCAAAATGGGGAACGACCAGCATCAAGATGCTGGAGGCCCATGGAGGGTGACAGGCAAAAGATGCACACCCCTCAACCGGAGCTCGATGGATAGACCCAGCTTGCAAATGGCAAACAAATGCAAATCTGCTGTGTGCTGTGGTCAATGATCAGATAAGTTAGTGGAAAGACACTAGAAAGCTAGGGAGTGTGGTGAGTTACTGGGGAGTTAAAGAGGAGATCCGTTAAAATTTTGGCACGATAGTGACGATCGAGATTAGATCCTGCATAACCTCTAATTGGCACGATAGTGATGATAGAGAGTAGATTTGGATGAGCCCTGTTTAAGGATGTCGCGCACAAATAAAAAATGGTCCCAAGCGAATCGCGTGTGGTCGCCGGGTACAGTTTAGATTTGCATGAACCGGTGACACGGAGAAATCAAGAAATGGTCCCCAGCGAATGGCACGATACAGATTAGATTTGCACGACCCCTGTTTAAGTACGACACGCCGGGTACAGATTAGATTTGCATGACCAGGTGACACGGAGAAATCAAGAAATGGTCCCACGCGAATCGCACAATACAGATTAGATTTGCATGACCCCTGTTTAAGTCCGACAGGCACAAATCATGAAGAGTGTCTAGAAGGGCACTAGAACATGCAAGTGAATGGCGGGGAGTCGCCAGGTAACTCATTGGCCCTGCCACTGTCTCATAGCCTTCGCTGCTTACAGTCTTTGCTATCACTCCCAGCGTTTACTACTAATCACACTCTTGATGACTAGAGTGACAGTGACACAGGCTTAGCAAATTACGTACCTATAGTGACAGAGGCTTAGCAAATTACCTACCTATAGTGACACAGGCTTGACAAATTACCCACCTACCCCTTTAGTGACATATGCTTGGCAAATGATCTACCTATAGTGAAGCAGGCTTGGAAAAATGACCTACGTATATGTGTCTGAGTTTTGATTGTAGAGAGCCCCGGCGTGGCGATCACGGAAGCGCCGATCCAGGGTCGGTACTCCCGCGTGTGTGTTTGTCGAGGTTGAGCGCCGTCCTTGAGCGTCTCCTGTGTCGTGGGTGAGTCCACTTCGCCAGCAGGTAGGGTGAACTCGGCACGAGCACCCTCCTGTTGGGCATCCTCCCTCAAGCACTGTCTCCCCCATCCCACACAACCTTTTAAAAAGTGACACAGGCTTGCCAAATTACCTGGGTCGATGCCATCCGCATTATGTGCCCTTTCACTGGGTGAGAAGATCTTCAAGCCATGAATATATACATGCGAACAGTACACGGGATGGATGGTCCAGAACGGAGAATTCTTGAGAGTGAGTCCTGAGATGATGATCCCGTCTGTCCATTGGAGCTCGATCAGGCAACCTCGGCTATAGCGAAGCTCCCGCCTCTCGAACCGCGACCACCATAGATGACCCTGTCCGTCGATCGTTCCCTTTCCTGCCAGAAATTGGGGGCCCAATGCCACAGACGAAACATGATGATCAGTCCAAAAGCAACATGGAGCTCCATGAACAACTAACATCACCTTCTTTCACAATGAACAAAATATACATTTGCGATTTCGCACCCACTTCGATGACAATAACTCAACGCCGTCCCCCTTTCTAACGTAAGAACAACACGAACAAGGATAACAGAAGGAGGAAACATAGGAGAGATACAAGGAGGGGAAGAGGGGGGGGAAGGGGGGGGGGGGGGGGAAGAACACGGGGAAGCGGGAATGTTCCGCAGCACTAGGAAAAAGGAAATAAATTCAAATAATTCCTTTTTTCAAATGGAGGGTCATTTGACTCATTTCTCGATTTATATGTATTCTCCTTGCATTTGCAGTGCCCATGCTAATCTACTCTGTATCGTTCCAATTTGGATGGATGACCCAAAGGGCGAAGAAAAAAGAAAAGAAAGGAAAAAAGGCAACCCTAACACATGATGGCCATAGATCTTTTAGACGAGTCGATGAACAAAAGAACGAAGCATAGGAAAAGAGACTAGAGGAAACACTCCGCTACAGTCGAAAAGGAGGGGGGGTGGGGGGTGCATTTAGCTACACTGGAAAAAACGAGGGACATTCCGCTGCACTAGAAAACGGGCAAGATTCCACTGCACTAGAAAAAGGGTGACATTTGTCCTTCGGGAAATCCATCCATTAAAATTGGAGCGATAGAGAAAAAGACGAGTGTCACCCCTGCAAAAAGGATGACACACATTCTGGTCCACTAGAAAAGAAAAACGGGGACGCTGGAAAAAAGGCACATCCTGATCCACTAGAAAAGTGGCAGTACCAATGAATGATGGCTTAGATTGGTTGCATCCATGGCCAGTGGCCACACAGTGCAGCGGACCGAAGCCCAAAGCGCTCACCTGTGATAGCTACATCTTGCAGATTCTCCCCATGGATAAGGCTAGAGTGCCTTGGTCCAGGTCTTTCGCGGCTCCGGCCATAAGAAGGGAGAGGCTGGATAAGTGGGTAGTCATCTTCATCCTGAAAACAAACAAACAAACAAACAAACAAACAAACAAACAAACAGACAGACAAACAACAAATCAAACAAACAAACAAACAAAAAACAAAAAACAAAAAACAAGCGGGGACCGGCTTTCATAATCTTCGATAACAAGACAAGATGTTTCGACAGAGACCCTACATCTGATGGTGAACAAGACAACGCTGCAGCATATGGTGGGCTGACGATAAATATGACATCACAGACAAAGCATTTTCCTTCTGTAAAGGGGCTAGCACAGTTGGTACACCCATTGACTGTTGGAATTTGAAATACATACCAAAGTTCGAATCCAGATGCAACCACATGACCAAAAAACGAAATCATTCTGAAAGGGGGAAAAAAAGAAAAAGGAACCCAGGAAAATCCACCAATTTTTTTATATTTTTTTGTGGGTCTACGGGGGTTTGCTGGGCTTGCCGAGTACTGCCCAAATCCGCCCTCATTTTTCTTTTCAGCCATATTGGTTTCTATTGT